TGGCAACCAATCAGCTTCTAACTAGCAGTGCAGTGGTGCTGCTAATTGCGAGGCCGAAGCTCAGCCTGCAACAGGAAGTTGTCAGGATCTCCTGATAAAGTTTTCAACTGAATGACAAAAAATATGATTTGCTTAGAAGTTCTGTATACAGTGAGACATGGTGCTATCATACTGAAAACTAGATTGTTACAGGTTTACACACATATTCATAGTTTAACACATACCGGCAGGAGAGTTTTTTTCATTGTATTTTAATTGGCCTGGAATTCGGATTTAAAGGAGGGGTACTGCGAGTGCAAAATATACTCTTCCCAATGGCCAGGGTGGGAACACTGCAGCTGTCACACGCTTGCTCTATAGATCGAGAACTGAGTGATCACAAACCGATGATCGCTCAGCTCACGGCTTCTCCCTGCAGAGAGCGACGACTGACAGTGGGATTTCCCCTCACTGTTTCTCCAGTGTTCATTGGAGGGACAGACATGGGAGGGGGGGGGGGGGGGAGGGGGGGGGGGGGGGGGCGTGCACAGCTCGCTCTGGCTTTAGAGCGGCAGAGCCAGCTGTCAATCAGACTGTGTGCTGTCACAAATATCACAAATACAGGCAGTAGGCTGCTATCTGATGACTTTGGATCACAGAAGCACATTAGTAGATATACTCCTGTGACCCAAAAGAGAACTAAAACCAAAAAAAGGTTCGGCTTTAGTTCTCTTTTTAAACAAGACTTTAAAAAAAGTGATAGTCCCTGCAGTACCTTTATACATCTTCACAGCAGTAAAAGATGCCCAAAAGAAGAGAATAAAGTGTGTTTTTTTTTGTTTTTTGTTTTTTTTTAATCAAACAGAAGTTCATAAATCTACATTGTAAACAAGTCGTCTTTTCTAGAGGGAGCAGACCTGTGAGTCACAGCAGGAAAAGCTGCTTTCCTCCTGTATGACCTCAGCATAAGATCCCTGGAGTGATCTACATCTTTTCAATTCACATAGGGCCACTTGTTGTTGTTCAAGACCTGCAGACCTGTTCACACGCTGCATGCAAAACTTTGCCCATAGAGATAACGTAGTTTCATCAGATTATTGATAAGGTCTTCATTTTTACTTGTTATTGTTAAGTAATAACTCATTACTGTTCACGGAACTGTGATAACAGAAACCCTTTTACCTGCGATTCTGGATAAGTAGCAGCTCTTTTTTATGTTAAAGGGAAAGTTATACTTAAAGTGACACTAAGATTTTCCCTCACTTTTTGTGTGACACCTGTACAAGAAATAGAGGAGTAGTTGTCACCGGAAAAGGAAGGCACCGAGATGAGCTCTAGACTAATGATTATTAGAACACAATCCTAAATTATTTACTGCATCACAACCTGACACTTTGAAACCTTACTGAAGTTTCTGTGTTGGCCTCAGCTGCTCCCCAACCATGCCCAATGCCTGAAATGTGCTGCTGTTTGTGTATGAAGCCAGCCATTCTTATTGAAACCACAGACTAATCTAAGCAGCTTGATAATGGGCCAAAATTAAAGTTGAACTCCAGGCACAAATATTTTCATTAAAAAAATATGCCTTTATAACCACAAAGTATAAAACCACTTTATGTGCACAGAATGCCTTTTGAAAACTCCGCTATTACCTTGCACAAGTAGCAATGGCATCATCCCTGTGTTGTGCAGAGCTGTGCAGCTCTATCCACTACAGAAGTGATGGGCAACTCCAGACCTCCATCTGTGCTTTAACTAAAAATCCCAATATGCCTCTGTGAGTCATACCTGTAAATGTCAGTCTTGCAATGCCTCCATGGGACTTGTAGTTTTACAACAGCTGGAGGGACGGAGTTGCCCACCCCTGCACTACAGGCTGCCTGCAGAAAACTACAAGAGGGGCGGAGACAAGACCAATCACACTCCAAAAGGTGAGAGCGCAGCAATGACTGGTCTTTATTACTCTGAGCTTCTGGATGGCTGCACAGAGACCTAGAAGAAATATACAAAGCACACCAAAATTCAAGTAAAAATACACATACCTCCTTGTATAAAGACAATATTTGTTTATGCGTGTCTGTTTATATCAGATTTAATGGTGATCAATAAATCAACATTTTAGAAAAACATAATTATTACTCTGAACTTCCTCCATCTCATTTTAATAAACTGTCAGGAATTTGGCATGGGCAGGTATTCATAAAGATAAACATTAGGGAGAACCTGATATACAGGCTATAATCCAATCCAATATACAATCCAACCTATTAGAACCACTTGGCAATGGCGTGTGTGTGTGTGCTCTTTCAGTGTCTCATTGCATTTCACTGTGCATTAGGCAGCATAGTGGTTAGTGCTTCTGCCTTGCTGCACTGGGGGTCCCCGGTTCGAATCCTGGCAAGGTCACCATCTGCAAGGAGTTTGCATGTTCTCCCTGTGCTTGTGTGGCTTTCCTCCCACACTCCAAAGACATGCTGGTAGGTTAATTGGATCCTCTCTAAAGGTGCCCATACACCTGCCGATTATCGTACGATTGTCTTACGAGCAGGCTTTAAATACCCGCCGAGAATCGTACGATTGTCGCTGAGTTTGTGGCCTGCTCGTAAAACAAATGCAGAACGGGCCAGTGTGCGCATGCGCGCACTGCCTGTTCGGCATTGCAGTCATTGTAGGCCCGCCCCTCAGCGGGGTGGGCCTTCGATGATCGCAAGTACGATCTGCCTGTCCAAGATGGGCAGATCACACAAGCTTTTAATTAGCTTACAACCATCGCAAGACTTAATAAAAGTCTTGCGATAATTGTAAGGTGTATGGGCACCTTAGGTTGGCCCTCTGTGTGTGAATGCGAGATAGGGACCTTAGATTGTAAGCTCCTTGAGGGTAGGGACTGATGAGAATGTGCAACTATGTAAAGTGCTGCGTAAAATTGTCGGCGCTATATAAATACCTGTAGTAATAATAATAAAAAATAAATAAAAAATAATTTCAACTTTTCCCTAGGTACTTGGACCAGATGGTGATAGTTGTGCTGTTTGTATCGAAACATACAAGCCAAATGATGTTGTGCGTGTTTTAACATGCAAGTAAGTATTTTGTGCAAACAATCACAACTTTTCTATCTGAGCATACAAATATGCGGCATGTTCTAATAACAAGCCTTTTACATTTACTAAATGTGTTCCTGCAGCATATATTTACATTTATCATAGAATTGTTATTGTTCTACACCCCATGCATATATCATCTAATGGCTGACACACGACTACTTAAGCACAGCGTTAAAACTCCAGGGCTTTAATGCAGATTAGATGTTATTTTCATCTTAGTCCATGCTAAGTAACTTGTTTGCCTTCATAAGAAGAAGCTTAGAGTAATACTGTGCAATAAAAAAAATTGCTGTGCCAAATTGCAAAGTTTCGAAATCAAGTACTTGCGATTTGTTATACACATGATATATACCCAGTACTACTGAACGAATAAACTGTAATATCAGCAGTAGAGTTCTAAATGTTTGAATATAGTTCTCTCCCTTAAGCCATAAAATGCAAGGGTTCCCACAAAGGGTTTGACTTAAAGTGGTCTATTCATAAACTTTTAGTAGGGCTGTTTATCCTGCAAATATCTGTGAATGTTCATTTTGTGCAGGAATGTAGAAAAGAACTTTTTTTTTTATTTTTTTTAGTTGTTTTTGTACAAGGTAATGTATTTTTAAATTTGTTTTCATATGCCACAAGATGGCACTGTTGAGTGCATATATACACAAATGTAACTACTTTTCCTGGGGCATCTCGGCAGCACACTATGGGTTAAGGTCCGCCCCTCTTAACCCACAGGACACGTGATAAATTCTGGCCCCCTCCAGGCCTTCCTCATTCTTTTTTTTTCTGTCCTCGCCATAGGACCGTGATAGCTAGTTTATTTTATTTGTTTCCCCTTCATGGATTCCCTTACCGGCCGTCCTGTGGCCTCCCTGGCAGGGTCTCCCCTGCACTGTAGACCCTGCTATTATGGGCTTGAATAGCTCTTGCCTGGGGTAGGACAGCGCATCCCTTTAGATCCACAAACGATGCGGTGAACAGCTGCACCTACCTATCTTCCAGCCATTTCCTCTGTCTCCTAGGCCCGGCCGGCCGTGTCTCTCCTCCTCTTATTTCGTATTGGAGCAGGTCAGCGGGGATGGCTCCGCCCATCAGGTTTCTCGGCGGTGACTGACTTCCAAGAGACGAGGTGAGTATGTAGTCTTTGCGCAGCCGCGGCGTCTCGCGCTTGCACAATGCTTAGGGGATTCCAAGATGGCGCCCGTCGGCTTCCGGTCTGCACTGCGCATGCGTTTTCGTTAAATTTCGGGGATTTTCGTTAATGGCAGCCTGCTGCTTCCACTGGACGATGTTTGGACGACTGTGTCCTGCGGATCATCCTTTTCCCTGCACTGCTCCAGTAAGTCTCTTTTGCTCTTATGGAACTATCACTATCACTATATTCCCTGTGTTTTATGTGGGCTACCTTCCTCTGTCATTAGGAATGGCTGAGCAAGCTGCCTTAAGGTGCCCATACACTGCACGATTATCGTACGATAATCGTATGCGATCGGGTTTTCGTACGATAATCGAGCAGTGTGAACGGAGACGTGCGACCGTTTCTACTGTACGGTCGCACGTCTTCTGTCGAACCAGCATGTTCGAAAACCAGCCGGGAATCGTACGATTCTCGGCTGGTTAGAACGGTGCTCGGAAGATAAATGCTGAACGGGCCGGTGTGCGCACGCGCACACTGCCCGTTCAGCATTGCGGTCATCGGAAGCCCGCCCCTCAGGGGTGCGGGCTTGCGATGATCGAGAGTGCGATCTGCCTGTCCAAGATAGGCAGATCGTACGTTTTTTTTAATCCCTTTACAACCATCGCAAGTCTAAAGTCTTGCGATGGTTGTAGAGTGTATGGCCACCTTTAAGGGATACCTGCTCCCCGCACCTTCACGAAGCTTCTCCTTCCACTGATTGCCCACATCCGGCTGCAAGGCATTCGCATTTTTCATTATCTGGACGATACCTTCTTCTATCCCAATCCTCCTCGACTATTATGCACCAGCAGCAGGTCAAGCAGTGTAACAGGTGGGATTTACGCCAGAAGATTATCATCACAGTCGGCATGAAGCAGTTTCTCTGGTGGTGCACTCGCCAGGCCAATCTCATCAATCATCATCTTCTTTGTCCTCCACAGCCTGTGGTGATCACCACGGACGCGAGCCTCCACGGTTGGAGGGCACACTGCCGGGGCTTAGCAGCTCAGGGCAGGTGGGCCTTCCGGGCTCAAGGCAGGCCCTCGAACATCCTGGAGGTGAGAGCAGCATTCAGGGGCCTCCTGGCCTTCTTCCCGATCATCCAGCAACAGTCTGTTCAGTTGAAAATCGACAATCGGACGGCAGTTGCTTACATTCACCACCAGGGGGGTACACAGAGTCACTCTATGCTGAGGGAGCTCGAGCCGATTTATGCACTGGGCACAGGTTCATCTACAAAATCTCTCAGCGATCTACCTTCCTGGCAGTCAGAACAGCCTTGCCAACCTGAGCCGGGCAACAGTGGATCCCCACGAATGGGAATTAAACCATGAGGTCTTCGGCATCGTGACCGCTTGTTGGGGCCTACCCCAGCTCGACCTGTTTGCGACACCCGACAACAGCAAGACCACTCGGTTTGTATCCCGCTTTCCGTGCAGCAAAGCAGTAGCAACGGATGCTCTGATGTGCCCGTGGTCCTTTGCTCTGGTTTACGTGTTTCCTCCCTATTCTCTCATACCGAGGTTTCTTCAGCGAGTGGCTATGTTTCCAGGAGTGATCATTGCAATCCTTCCATATTGGCCCAGGAGGCCATCGTTCCCTCCTTTACTGGAGTTCAGCATGGAGCCTCCACTTCCTCTACCATGTCGCAGCGATCTCCTGCTCCATGGCCCCTTCCTGCACCCAGCTCCAGCAGCACTGCATCTGATGGCTTGGAGATTGAGCGGGACCGTTTCTCCAGCTTGGGATGCTCCCAGGCAGTTATCGCTACGTTGCTAACCGCACGCAAGCACTCTACCAATGCTACTGATCAGAGGGTGTGGAACCAGTTCTCAGCAGCGGCGGTGGTTGGCGGGTTTGACGCCCGTTACCCCACGGTCAATCATGTCCTTGACTTTCTTCAGTCCGGTCTGGATAGAGGTCTCAGCTGGAATTCTCTCTGGGTTCAAGTATCGGCCAGTTCAGCCCTGTCAGGGTCCAGGTGGGCTCTCGATCCATTGATCATACGTTTCCCTGAAGGATGTCTGAAACTTCATCCCCCTGTACGTTCCTTGTTTCCGCAATGGGATTTATCCCTTGTGCTGGATGTTCTGCAGCATGCTCCCTTCTATCCACACCCTACGCCTTCTCTCTGGGATATCACCCTCAAGACTACTTTTTTCCTGGCGATCACATCTGCTAAACGTGTGTCGGAGTTGCATGCTCTGGCGGCCACAGAGCCATTTTGCACGTTCTATCCGGACAGGGTCGTGTTGAGGACGCATCCCTCATTCCTTCCGAAGGTCACCTTCATTTCACCTGAATCAGGAGATTGTTCTACCAGCATTTCATGGCGAGATGGGAGATCCGCATGCGCTTGATGTGGCCAACACGCTGCGGGCTTATCTGAGCTCTACTCAACCATTTTATCTGGTGGATAACCTCTTAGTCCTTCCCTATGGGGCCAAGAGGGGAAACGCGGCCTCTGTACGTACCATTGCAACCTGGCTAGTGAGAATCATCCGAAAAGCCTACTCCATCAAAGGTCTACAACCACCTGAGGAAATACGGGCTCATTCCACGAGAGGGATGGCAGCTTCCTGGGCAGCATATGCGAAGGTCTCAGCCAAAACAATCTGCAGGGCCGCCTCATGGTCGTCACGGAACACCTTCATGAGTCACTATAGGGTGGATCCGGCTCTTCTTACTACCGTTAGCTTTGGTCGCAGCATTCTGCAGTCTGGGTGCTCTAACCCAGGCCTTCTTAAACTTTTCCCACTCGTGACCCCTTTTTGCCCAAGGACATTTTTACGTGACCCCAGGTATATAGAAAAGGTATACACATCAAACATTTACAAAGATTCAAGAAATTCTATTTGAAACAATGCATTGATACACATATCATTACAATGTAGTAAAAGGTACATTATTAAGGTACCGTATATACTCGAGTATAAGCCGTCCCGAATATAAGCCGAGGTACCTAATTTTACCACAAAAAATTGGGTAAAAGTATTGACCCGAAATATAAGCTGAGGGTGGGAAATGAGGCAGCTAATGGTAGATGGATACCAATAAAATTACATAGACAATACATAATTGGTTACCGTAATAAATCCCCACAAATCTCCCCTCACTTACTGTGATTCACTGTGCCGGAGCAGGGACGAGGCAGCGGTGCGCTGGTCCAGTGGGAGGAGCTCCAGGTGGGGTCCTAATTTAGCTGACTTAGAGGTGCCTGCCCGATAATTACAACCCCACCTGGAGCTCCTCTCGTCTGACCAGCGCGCCGCTGACACATCCCTGCT